AACGCCCTCCCATCAGATGTCAAGGAAATAAACAACTATCTGACTTTTAGAAGACATCTGAAGGGAAGTTTTAAATGTTTGATGTTTTATCATGTTTTTAATATTCTGTTGGGAGCCGCCCAGGGTGGCTGGGGAAACCCAGCCAGATGGGCAGGGTATATTATTATAGTAGCGGGTGGCAGGGTGATGTGGGCAGACCACTGTTGCTTACCTGACTTCTCAATGCTGCACATTGCTGCTGGTTACATCGGGGCAAGGCTGTGGGGTGCTTGAGGTGGTGTGTGCACAGCGGCAGAGATTTCAGATCAGATCTTCCACTGTGCCTGCACTGCACATATTAAGTTAAAATGTATATTTAAGTATTAATTTTCATATGGATTTTCTTCAAAACCAAAACTATTTTTTCTTTCCCAATTCCCTCTTCACTCCACAGAGCCGGTGTGGGTTTGCAGATATGGTTCATAGTCAGTTAAGCAGGCAACTGACAGCCAATATTCAGAAAGCTATTTAATTACCTCAAGTCTCAAAGTGCTCTTCTGGCACAGATCCTATTCTATTTCTGGCAATATATAGAATATTTAACTGACTAACATGATGGAAATAGTGTATGAAGACTATGTGGGAAAAGAGGGGAGATCTCATTTGTGCACCAAATCAGATCATTTCTCTCCCTTGCCAAGTTCTCACCCAACATTCATCTTTTGCCTGTAAAGGTAAAGGTAAAGGGACCCCTGACCATTAGGTCCAGTCGTGACCGACTCTGGGGTTGCGGTGCTCATCTCGCTTTATTGGCCGAGGGAGCCGGCGTACAGCTTCCGGGTCATGTGGCCAGCATGACTAAGCTGCTTCTGGTGAACCAGAGCAGCGCACGGAAACGCCGTTTACCTTCCCGCTGAAGCGGTACCTATTTATCTACTTGCACTTTGACGTGCTTTTGAACTGCTAGGTGGGCAGGAGCAGGGACCGAGCAACGGGAGCTCACCCCGTCACAGGGATTCGAACCGCCAACCTTCTGATCAGCAAGTCCTAGGCTCTGTGGTTTAACCCACAGCGCCACCTGCGCCCCTCTTTTCCTCCCCTAAAATCACATCATTTAGCTGACCATGTGATGCCTTTATATAGAAATTCAGCTCCATATGAAAATAGACTGCAGAGAAATGGTTTCTGTGCTGCAATAGTGACATATATGGATTGAGCTGGAAAGTCTGATCTTGCTTACATACGGTGTTGGTGATGATCAGTAGATGTTTTACTCTGTCCCCTAATGCAAGAATGTTCATATTTATCTGAACAGTCACCATCAGATTCACTATGATGACATTTGTGATTAAAGAGAGTACTTTTTCACACAGTGCATAGTTAGACTAGGGAACTTGCTCCCACAGGAGGCAGTGATGGTCACCAATCTAGTTGGCTTTAAAAGAGGGTTAGACAAATTCATAGAGGACAAGGCTATGGAGGACTGCAAGCCACAATGGCTATGTCCTGCATCCATAGTTGGAGGCAGCAATGCTTCTGAATGCCAGTTTCTGGAAACCACAGGAGAGGAGGGGACTCTTGTGCTCTGGTCTCGCTTGCAGGTTTCCCACAGGCCACTGTGAGAAAAGGATGTGGACTAGAGAGGCATTGGCATGATCCTGCAGGCTTCTCTTGTGTCCCTATGATGATATTAACACTCTTTATTGTGCTGCCATCAGGGGTGGCCTTTGGTAATCTTTCATAATAGAGTGGTACCTTGGTTCTCAAACTTAATCCGTTCTGGAAGCCCATTCCAAAACCAAAGTGTTCCAAAACCAAGACACACTTTCCCATAGAAAGTAATGCAAAATGGATTAATCCATTCCAGACTTTTAAAAACAACTCCTAAAACAGCAATTTATCCTGAATTTTACTATATAACGAGAAGGCAATAAACAATGTACTGCAGGCACACAATCAATCAATCATCAATCAATCAATCAATAGCTGAACTGGGCTCCACACAGTCACAAAAACAAAACAAAAAGAGGTGCAAAAACAAAGACGCAAAATAAATAGCAAAAACAGACAGACCTCAGAGTAACACTCAAAATGGAGGCGCAGCACTCAAAACGGAAAGGTGGCACTCAAATCGTCAGCGTAACACTCAAAACAAAAGTGTGACACTCAAAACAGAGCACGTTCGGCTTCCGAAAAAAGTTCGCAAACTGGAACCCTTACTCCGTTGCAGTGTTTGGGTTCCAAGTTGTTTGAGTACCAAGATGTTTGAGAACCAAGGTACCACTGTATGGCGGCCTGTGTGAAGCCAACATTTGGCACCCCAAAATGGATCTGCTCCATTATAGATCTCAATTTCGCATCTCCTTGACTTGGTGTGCTGTGCAGGGCAACCACCCATGCCACCCTAAATCTAGTGCTGCTACCATGAGCAAAAGCTGTATGGGAGTTGCCTGGGCCAACTCACATGGCATCTGGGGGTTGGGGGAGCTCACAGTATATATGGTAATGCACTTATGCTTTCAGGAGCAAACAGCGATGTGCAGAGCTTTCTGGGCTGGGACCAAAGCAGCTGTTTCTTTGGTTGAGGGACCACTGTCATTATTTCTCCCAATGATCCCCTGTTTTTGTTTGGGAGGGAAGCAAACAGCCTTCAGTAAGCAGGTTTCAGAAGCTCTGCTGCATGCATTGTATTGTTGTTTGGGTTATGACCTTTGATTCTACCCAGAGCTGCTTGTGATGATACCACTCAGCTGTGCATCATGTGCTCCATGCCTCGATTAAATGGAGTGCCCGCATATTTGGTGTCTCTTGGTGGTGGTTGTTCATAGTGTAAGGCACATTATCACAATCCTAAAAGGGTGAGAAGTCTCAGAAAATGCCATGCATTGACAGACCCAAAATTACACCTATCCAAGGATGTAATCGGATAGAGCATTCATTTTGATTTTCAAGGGGGGCATCATTTTGTTTACTTGCATGCTAGATACCACAAACAAAGGATATTTATATCCTTAATGGCTGCTTCTAATCTGTCTATGGACCATCGTGTATTACTTCTGAAATGATAGTATCTTGTTACTTTGAAATCAAGTGTGAAAGGCTAAATGTGCATTTATTTTTGCCCTTTTCCACTGCCAAGCTATCCCTGGGCACAGTCCAGCCAAAGCACTTTTAAGACTTGCAATTGACTTAAATAAGGGAGTCTGCAGCCCAAACCTAGCTAGGTTTACACAGAAGTAAACCTCTCTGACTCAATTCTGAATAGCAGTTTAGCACTGCAGCTTTAAGCTTGTGCTTCACAGATGTACATTTTCAAATGAGTGGGGCTAATCTGAGCATTGTATCTAATGTTGTTGTTCAGTTGACAGTAAGGCTTCCGTCTGTGGAACAGGGAAGAAAGCCATTTCCTTCACTCCCCCCCCCCACCACCACTGAAGGCTCCACTCCATCTAACTCTGTTCCAGATAGGTGAGGGACCTTCCAGAACAGATTGTGTGTGTGTGTGTGTGTGTGTGTGTGTGTGTGTGTGTGTTGGGGAAATAGTAGAAAATTGCTTCTCTTCCACTGATGGAAGCTTCTCAGTTAGCTGAGTGACACCAATGGATGTCAATTGTAGGCACTGTTTCCTGGGTCTTTCTTTATTTCTTTCTTCAATTGCACAATCTTTTTTTTCTTTTCTGTAGTGTTTTCCAAAAATTACACATAAAATTCCAATACAATATGTATTTTAAAAAATCTTTTCTATTTTTGAATTCCCAACCCATTTTCCGTGATGTTATTCTTATCCCCCCTTCACTGTACCATAACTTTATTCCTTTTTTTATCATAATCATAACACAATAATCTCAAATTCTTTCTGTCGCTCATTGTTCAAAACCTGGTCATGGGGTCTTCATATTGTAATATTTCTTTAAATAATCCGAAAAGGGTTTCCGTTCTTCAAAAGAACAGTCATCATTATATTCTCTTACGTTAGCTGTTAGCTTTGCTAATTCAACATAGCTCTTTACTTTACTTATCCCAGTGGCGTAGCGTGGGGGGTGCAGGGGGGGCCGGCCGCACCGGGCGCAACATCTGGGGTTAGGGCAAATCCACAGGTTAGGGGGCGCAAATCCATGGGTTAGGGGGCGCAAATCCACGGGTTAGGGGGCGCAAATTACTTGCCTTGCCCCGGGTGCTGACAACCCACGCTACACCACTGACTTATCCATTTCCAATTGCACAGTCTTTTGTTGTTGTGCATGACATGCACTATGGATGGTATCCCACTATAGTCCTACTCTATTGAAATGAATGGACTTGCCTAAGGTGGGTCCATTAATTCCATTGAATCTATTCTGAGTCTAACTGAGTTGCATGCAACTTTTTAAATATATTTCCTAGGAAGTTTTGTGTAGCAGACAGACACTCTTGGGGACTTCAAGCAAGTTAGCTATACTGAAGGCCTGGCAGCTGACCCAGGAGGCAGGACGAAGCAGCGCTGGAGCTGGCATGGATTTCTTCCCATGTTAACAAGCTTTTTTTAAACATAGATGATATGGCTTAACATATGGCAACAATGTTTTTTTATAATCCAGGCAGCCCTTAAGGAGACTTTGGGGAGGATCAATTTACAGCTCAGGGCACCAGGGAAGATCTCATGTCGGCACTAAAAAGATTTTAAAACCTAATGACTGTTCGTTGGTCTTTTTAACCATTATCTGTGCAAAATAACCACCTGCTGGCTATTAAGTGGGTGTTTATTTTTTACAAAAATCATTTTTCTTTAGTTGTTCCTTATGACCTTTTTTGCATATAATAAATAATAAAAGCTTTAAATGTATGTCAACAATTAATTTTCACGTTTAAGGATTATACAATCGTACTGAAAAGCTTCCAAAATATGGCCTCTTGTAAATGCTCATTTAACTTAAATCATAGTTTTAATCCTTATTAGACACATCACTGGTTTGTGAGAGCAACTAAATTGATTCTATATATAGCACCCTAGCTGTCCATAAATGGGAGGGAAGGGGGCAGTAGCCTTCCCTTAGACTTAGACATTATTTTTGTTTTCCTCAGCCTAGGGCTTGGTAAGCTGGGTAAGACTGTCCTTCCTCTCTGCATTGCCATTTTGACATCTCTCTAGGTAAGTCTGTGCTCATTTTTAAAAAAATTATATGCATTATTCAGATTTGGAGAAAATATATTTCCTCCCCCACCTTCTCTGTCAAGGTGATGACTTCTCAGTCTAAGAACTGAAAAAATTGGGCTATTTTTTTAAAACCATTCTTTTCAACTTCATTTTGCATCCTCTAAGGCCACAATCCTGCACACAGGTTGCTTAAACTTCATTGAAGCCAATAAGTCTTAAGCAGCCACGAACTGCAGCCTTAGAGTCCAACCCCTGAATAGGGGTTTAACATGCACATCAGTGAAAGGAATACTGGACTCTTGGTCTTGAATAGAATAGATACTTCCTTGAGCTAAACACATGCAACTGTATTCATATTTATTTATTTCTGTGTTAATGATTTATTCATATTTATTTCCTTCAGTTTGAAGACATTAGATGCTGGGCAAAAGATGTAGCACGTATTTGTCTAGGAATAACAAACTGAACAAAAAAAAAAGAAAGGGAAAAGATGTTGGCAGAAAACATCCATTAAATTAGAGTTTACCATATATTTCAAATCCTACTTCTTAAAAGATGGAATTCTGGCTGTTGATTCTGTCGAGTATTTACTGTTTGCTTTCTCTTTGTGCCTCTTGGCAAGCCCCTCTGCATGACTGGTGAGAGAGTGAGAGTGGAAGGAAAGGCTTTTGGAAATCTTTTTTTTTTTTTTGCTCTGGAAATGATGCCTGCTAGAAAGCAACAGTGGAATTGGACGAAGGAGGCGCATGAGTCAATGGAGGCGCCGTAGGACGGGATAATAGAAGTTGAAATGTTTGGAACGGACTCCCTTTTGCTATCTCACTCGTTCCACATTGTTTACTATCCAATGAAAAGGTCAGGGTGTCTTCAAAGTGCATTTTGGATCTTCAGGCTTAACAGGGCACCTGCTACAAGTCCCTTTTCTATGCAGGGAGTTGGCAGAGCATTCCTATGGGGGAGGGAGAAACCAATGCAGAAAGTGAATGACAACTCCCCCCCCCCTGCCTTGTGATTTGGCCTTTTGTTGCTTCTTGCTCTTCCAAAAACCTTTCCTTCCCATTTCTCCCAATGGCATAATCCCCACCACCACCATTCCAGGGCATGTTGTGAGAAAGAAAGAGGCCACCAACTCACAGCCTCTTCTGTCATTGTTAGGTCTACTTTTCAGGACAGAATGAGATGTACACCTCAGGCAGCAGATTTTGGGTGTCATGAAAGGGGCAATGGCGTGTTTATTATTTAGTTTGTCATTGCAGTTTTACTGCCAGGGAAAGGAAGATGTCTGTATGGGGTTTTCAGGTGTCAAAATAACTTGGGAGGCCTTGGTACTATATATGCTTACTTGGGGTTGGTGACAGGGAACTGTTTGCTGATCCACCACGGGCAGCAAAATGCCCTGAGAAGGCCCTGCACATCACTGTCCCCTCCGATGTTAGAGCTTGATGTAGGAGAAGCACCAGCGGAGGCCTTTTCTGCAGCCACAAGTAGGAAGCTGGCAAAAGCAGATTTCTCCCTCTCTCTTTGAGGGCAGCCCTCTCCTTCCATCCATGGAGGAGGAGACCTGAAAAGTCCTCCGTCCCCTGGGACTTTAGAGGGCTGCGACCTAAGTGATAAAACTTTCAGGTGCCCCCGTATCAAGTTGCCATGGATTTGTGGGACCAAGATGGCCATGATTTGCAGCAGTTTGTCAGCACGCTTGATTGTACTTAACTGACTTTTGTGAGCAACCATAAGAGTAAAAAGTTACAGAATGTAAAATACATAAGATTGTTAAAAGGGGGTAGATTGGAATGTAACAGTAACTAGCTGCAGTTTTTAAAGGTTTTGCTAGGTACTTCAAAAATCAGAGCCTTCCAATAAAATGACCCTATGCATTATTCAGATTAGGGTAAGAAAAATATACCATATTTTTCGCTCACCAGACCATAAGACACACCTAGTTTTTGGAGGAGGAAAACAAGAAAAAAAAATCTGAATCTCAGAAGCCAGAACAATAAGAGGGATTGCTGCACAGCGAAAGCAGCGATCCCTCTTGTTGTCCTGGCTTCTGGGATAGCTGCGCAGCCTGCATTCGCCCCATAAGACGCACACACATTTCCCCTTACTTTTTAGGAGGGAAAAAGTGAGTCTTATAGAGCAAAAAATATGGTATATATGAAGTTCTACAGGTAAGGCAGGGGTGGACAAATTTAGGGTCTCCTGTTGTTGCTGGGCTACAATTTGCCTCACCACATCTATTGTCCATCCTGGCAGGGACTGATGAGAGCTTGAGTCCAACAGCATCTTGGGGAGTGGGCATAGGTTATCCACCCCTGAGATAATGAATGTGTTCCTGAGCAACTGCTTCCCAACATATGTAACTTATAACCATTTATATACTCTTAACTGATTTGTTCTGTATAAGTACGGCTAGCCAAAATGGTTGCCGAGTTTTGGAAAATATGTGGGTGTGTCAACCCAACTCCTGTGCTCACCAAAATAAAAAAGGCAGATGGACACACATGGACTGCGTGTAGGAGGTTTGATCAGTTTCCAGCAAATGATGCACAAGGCTACGCAAGGCAACTCCCTTTGCTTAGCCAATCCCTATGGGCAGTGGGATGCACTGGTGGGACGTAAGCAGAAGGACGGGGAAAGGAGCCACACCAAATCCCAGGTGCTGTTGTCAGCTGCCTCCATGGCTTCCATGAACTCTGTTTCCAAGTTAATGGCAAAGAGGAGAGGGGACTTTATCCTTTGAGGCTATGGTCTTCGGGATACATTTGCTTGTGTGAGAGAAGGGAGGGAAAAGGGCGAGAGAAGGTTTCCTTCTGCTTTGTTTTTCTCCATCGAGTCTGTAAAGGTAAAGAGACCCCTGACCATTAGGTCCAGTCGTGGCCGACTCTGGGTTTGCGGTGCTCATCTCGCTTTATTGGCCGAGGGAGCCGGTGCACAGCTTCCGGGTCATGTGGCCAGCATGACTAAGCCGCTTCTGGTGAACCAGAGCAGTGCACGGAAACGCAGTTTACCTTCCTGCTGGAGCGGTACCTATTTATCTACTTGCACTTTGACGTGCTTTCAAACTGCTAGGTTTTAAAGGTAAAGGTACCCCTGCCCGTACGGGCCAGTCTTGCCAGACTCTAGGGTTGTGCGCTCATCTCACTCTATAGGCCGGGAGCCAGTGCTGTCCGGAGACACTTCCGGGTCACGTGGCCAGCGTGACATCGCTGCTCTGGCGAGCCAGAGCCGCACACGGAAACACCGTTTACCTTCCCGCTAGTAAGCGGTACCTATTTATCTACTTGCACCCGGGGGTGCTTTCGAACTGCTAGGTTGGCAGGCGCTGGGACCGAACGACAGGAGCGCACCCCGCCACAGGGATTCGAACCGCCGACCTTTCGATCGGCAAGTCCTAGGTGCTGAGGCTTTAACCCACAGCGCCACCTGCGTCCCGGCTAGGTTTTAGGTGCATAAAATTAATGATGTATGTGTGCACACACTTCTGTCCCATTTCGGTAACTTGAATGCGCACTGTGTGAAAGCATCTCTGTGCAGGTATCTCATTAAGGTGAGAGAGAAAGGCAAAAAGACATTTCCCACCTGCCAGCTGCATCCCCTCACTGTGCATGTGTAATTCGTGGCGTGTATGCCATGTTTGTATGTTTCTTTCGGTCCGTGCCTGTGTGCATTCGCAGGATGGGTGGAGTAGCTAGTTGCAGATTCATCTGATGAGGCAGAGCTGGAGCAATAGCTCCCTAGCTGCAGTGTTGCCACTGCTTACCGGGAGGTTGAAGTGGCAGCAAGGACAGGACCGTGTTCTCTCAGTGCATCTGAATAGCTCCAACCTCACTGCCACCTGGCTCCTTCCCCTCCCAACATGCAACAGCGCTGCAGCCGCCGCCAGGATGCTATTGCTGCGGTTTCGCTTACCTCACCCGGGATGATCCATGGCTTAATTTCTCCACCCATTCCCCAGCACTGCCAATTATTGCAGTCCTGTATTATCATATTTCTAGGCCAGTCTTTTAGACAAGATCCCCACTGAGCTTTGTATTGGGAGGAAAATTCCTGAGCTATTGGATTCTGTATTAAAATTCTGGACAGAATCAGGTTCTGCTGCAGCATTCATAAACAATTTCAAGATAGGCTTGGCATCAATGCAGAGATCAGGGAACTGGAGTGTTCTGATTTTTCCCCATTTGGTTGGATGCATTGATCCATTGTATTTCCAAAAAGGATCATGGACTTGTTCACATTATTCATAAAATAATGTGGAGGGACTTGTGGTTCCTCCACAGTTCCTTAGTATATTGGAAAAGCTGAGAGAATGGGTTCAGTGGTAGAGAATCTGCATTGCATGTAGAAGCTTCCAGGTTCTATCCATGACATTTCTAGTTAGGGCCAGGACTCAGCGAGACCCATGCCTGAAACTCTCCCTATGTACCTGAAGACAATTGCAAGACTGGTTACTTACAATGTCCTTGCCTTGAAGGGTTCCCTGTTTGCTTGGAATAGATCTAAGCATTACAGCACCATGGTCTGCTCTATCAATCCATGCTTGGCGTGGTTATAGTGCAGAAGGAGGTCTTCACTGGGGATATTGGTGCAAGCAGCACTGTACACTCGTCATCGAGCTATATTTGCACCATGTGTAAGAACACGAGACATAAGACGAGCCAGCTGGATCAGGCCCATCAAATCCAGGATCCTGTACTCACAGAGACCAACCAGATGCAAGAAAGACCTGAGTGCAACCACACTCTCTGCTCCTGTGATTCTCAGCAGGAGGAAGAACATAGCCATCATGTGTAATAATAATAATAATAATAATAATAATAATAATAATAATAATAATAATAATAATAATAATAATTTATTATTTATACCTCGCCCATCTGGCTGGGTTTCCCCAGCCACTCTGGGCGGCTTCCAACTGAATATTAAAAACAGTACAGCATCAGACATTAAAAACCTCCCTAAAGAGGGCTGCCTTCAGTTGTCTTTTAAAAGTAAAA